GCTAAAAGACCTAGATATGCAGTTTGAAATGTTTACTTGGAAATGGTTGACTCATGACTCAGTAACCTTCAGAAAAATCACAAAAATTTAGCTTTTTTTTTTTTTTTTCAGTGTTGCTGAGCACCAACTATCTTTTGTTCTCAATTCTGGTGACACACAGTTGATCAGTTTACCACTCTCCCACACTTACTCTCCTCTTATTGAATACGGCGATCCATCCACTGAATTCCCAAACATCAAAAAACTGTATGTATCCAATCTACCTGAGCATGGTGTGTATCTGTAGCGTTTCAATGTCAGATTAATAATTGTAGACATTTCCCTAAAACTCCACATTTCATCATCATCCCATCCTACTGTGATGGTATAAGATATATGTAGACTTGAATATTTCCTTCCCTCCTCTTGATTTGAAGAAGGCAGTCTTTTGCCTCGACTTTTGCTCCATGTGTTACATCCTAACTCTTTCCCTCTCTACTCCCAAGTTTGGAAGAGTTTCCATTTGTCAAAAGTGTTCCAAGACTTTTCCGATACAGAAAGATTGGAGCAGAGAAGTTGGAGGGAAAAGGGAAGCACTTAGCCAGCAAACTGAACTCTGGAGTAGTGTGTTTGGAGGAAGAAAGGAACAAAAAGGCATTCAAGAAATGTTGCTGGGAGTTATGAATGGGAGAGACAGAAGTAAAAGACTGGAATTCTTTTTGTTGTTAACTTTTTTATTGTAACTCCATCTAGAGACTGGACATATAGATCTGAAGTTTATAAGGGTTTTGTTATTCCTAACCTTTCAGTAGCTCCCTGTTGCCTGTAAGATAACTTTTAAACTTTTTCATCTTGTCATTAGAGCCCCCTACTCTGTCCCTGATCTGGCCATTTGCCCTTTTACATTCCTTATGGGACCCTCCTCTCCAACTTAACTGACTGCCTCAATGTCCCCCAACTATGCTGTGTGGTGTGCATACTCTGCCTTTTCTCGTCTTTCTCCAGATACTTTGGAATCTGGCTTACCAGTCTCTCTTTTTGAAAACTGGCTCCTCTGGAAGCCCTTGGCTGAGCGAGTATCTCACTTCTCTGTATCCCTATGGCACTCCTTGGCTCATCTTGCTCTTTAGTTTTCATTGTGCCATTTCTTCTTGTTAGTTACCTTTTCCCGTGTCTGACTGGCCTCCTATGGCACATATAAACCCCCTCCCCCTGACCCCCATGTCTACCTTAGTGACTGATACTGTAGGCTGTAAACTATAGGCTATGACACTAAGGGCTTCATAAGGTGGTGCTAGTGGTAAAGAACCCACCTGCCAATGCAGGAGACATAAAAGATGTGGGTTTGATCCCTGGGTCAGGAAGATCCCCTGGAGGAGGGCATGGCAACCCACTCCAGTATTCTTGCCTGGAGATCCCATGGACAGAGGAGCCTGGTGGGCTAGTGTCTGTGGGGTTGCAAAGAGTCAAGCACGACTGAGCAACTAACACTTCTACTTTCACTTTTTACCTCCCACAGCCTGACTTTGGCAGCCAGAGGCTCTCTGAACTCTAGTTCTCCCTGTCCAGAGAGCTGGATGCTATTATACTTACATTGCAGCCCCTTCCATCCTTTGATTTACTTAAAAAATATTTAACAGATACTCAAAAGCACTTTCCACTCCCCTCACCCATGGTTGTGCCATTGGCTAGGGCTTTGATGATTTTGTATTTGCAGATTTCACCTTTAAGAACGTTATCATCAACCAGACAAAGACGCCACAAAAAAAGAAAACTACAGGCCAATATCACTGATGAACATAGATGCAAAAATCCTTAACAAAATTCTAGCGAACAGAATCCAACAACATATTAAAAAAATCATACACCATGACCAAGTGGGCTTTATCCCAGGAATGCAAGGATTCTTTAATATCCGCAAATCAATCAATGTAATACACCACATTAACAAATTGAAAGATAAAAACCATATGATTATCTCAATAGATGCAGAAAAAGCCTTTGACAAAATTCAACATCCATTTATGATTAAAACTCTCCAGAAAGCAGGAATAGAAGGAACCTACCTCAACATAATAAAAGCTATATATGACAAACCCACAGCAAGCATCACCCTCAATGGTGAAAAACTGAAAGCATTTCCCCTGAAATCAGGAACAAGACAAGGGTGCCCACTCTCACCACTACTATTCAACATAGTTTTGGAAGTTTTGGCCACAGCAATCAGGGCAGAAAAAGAAGTAAAAGGAATCCAGATAGGAAAAGAAGAAGTGAAACTCTGTTTGCAGATGACATGATCCTCTACATAGAAAACCCTAAAGACTCTACCAGAAAATTACTAGAGCTAATCAATGAATACAGTAAAGTTGCAGGATATAAAATTAACACACAGAAATCTCTTGCATTCCTATACACTAACAATGAGAAAACAGAAAGAGAAATTAAGGAAACAATACCATTCACCATTGCAACAAAAAGAATAAAATACTTAGGAGTATATCTACCTAAAGAAACAAAAGACCTATACATAGAAAACTATAAAACACTGATGAAAGAAATCAAAGAGGACACAAACAGATGGAGAAATATACCGTATTCATGGACTGGAAGAATCAATATTGTCAAAATGGCTATACTACCCAAAGCAATCTACAGATTCAATGCAATCCCTATCAAACTACCAACGGTATTTTTCACAGAACTAGAACAAATAATTTCACAGTTTGTATGGAAATACAAAAAACCTCGAATAGCCAAAGTAACCTTGAGAAAGAAGAATGGAACTGGAGGAATCAACCTGCCTGACTTCAGACTATACTACAAAGCGACAGTCATCAAGACAGTATGGTACTGGCACAAAGACAGAAATATAGATCAATGGAACAAAATAGAAAGCCCAGAGATAAATCCACGAACCTATGGTCATCTTATCTTCGACAAAGGAGGCAAGGATATACAATGGAAAAAAGACAACCTCTTTAACAAGTGGTGCTCGGAAAACTGGTCAACCACCTGTAAAAGAATGAAACTAGAACACTTTCTAACACCATACACAAAAATAAACTCAAAATGGATTAAAGATCTAAATGTAAGACCAGAAACTATAAAACTCCTAGAGGAGAACATAGGCAAAACACTCTCCGACATAAATCACAGCAGGATCCTCTATGACCCACATCCCAGAATTTTAGAAACAAAAGCAAAAATAAACAAATGGGACCTAATTAAACTTAAAAGCTTTTGCACAACAAAGGAAACTAGAAGCAAGGTGAAAAGACAGCCCTCAGATTGGGAGAAAATAATAGCAAATGAAGCAACAGACAAAGGATTAATCTCAAAAATATACAAGCAACTCCTCCAGCTCAACTCCAGAAAAATAAATGACCCAATCAAAAAATGGGCCAAAGAACTAAACAGACATTTCTCCAAGGAAGACATACAGATGGCACAAAAACACATGAAAAGATGCTCAACATCACTCATTATCAGAGAAATGCAAATCAAAACCACAATGAGGTACCATTACACGCCAGTCAGGATGGCTGCTATCCAAAAGTCTACCAGCAATAAGTGCTGGAGAGGGTGTGAAGAAAAGGGAACCCTCTTACATTGTTGGTGGGAATGCAAATTAGTACAGCCACTATGGAGAACAGTGTGGAGATTTCTTAAAAAGCTGGAAATAGAACTGCCATATGACCCAGCAATCCCACTTCTGGGCATACACACCGAGGAAACCAGATCTGAAAGAGACACATGGACCCCAATGTTCATCGCAGCACTGTTTATAATAGCCAGGACATGGAAGCAACCTAGATGCCCATCAGCAGACGAATGGATGAGGAAGCTGTGGTACATATACACCATGGAATATTACTCAGCCATTAAAAAGAATTCATTTGAATCAGTTCTAATGAGATGGATGAAACTGGAGCCCATTATACAGAGCGAAGTAAGCCAGAAAGATAAAGACCATTACAGTATACTAACACATATATATGGAATTTAGAAAGATGGTAACGATAACCCTATATGCAAAACAGAAAAAGAGACACAGATGTATAGAACTGACTTGTGGACTCCGGGAGAAGACGAGGGTGGGATATTTCAAGAGAACAGCATCGAAACATGTATATTATCTAGGGTGAAACAGATCACCAGCCCAGGTTGGGTGCATGAGACAAGTGCTCGGGCCTGGTGCACTGGGAAGACCCAGAGGGATCGGGTGGAGAGGGAGGTGGGAGGGGGGACCGGGATGGGGAATACATGTAAATCCATGGCTAATTCATTTCAATGTATGACAAAAACCACTGCAATGATGTAAAGTAATTAGCCTCCAACTAATAAAAATAAATGAAAAAAAAAAAAAGAACGTTATCATCTTCTCTCCCCCAATACTGGGTGTGCTAACCCCAGACAATGGGGATGCAAACACATGATCTGTCTTGTAAGGCAAAGTCTCCTTGAGATCTGCTCCAGTCATAGCATCTTCAGTCCTTTTTCATAGCAATTTTTCTTTATTAAGACATTTCAGATGTATTATAATCCCTATAGTTAAAGACCATATTTTATAGCAACTTTTAATACTTTTAAATAAATCAATATGTGAGAAGATTGTTTTATTATAAATTCTTCCTTTTCATGCAGGCATCAAAAGCTATTCCTGGCTGTTTTATTCTCTAGGCCAATTTAAGGTCTTCCTGGCTACTTATTTTTCTGCATCAGAAAACTTCAAGTGTTTGAGTATCTTCTGCTACCTTCCACGTTAGTCAAAGGAGGGACGTTACTCTGCCCTCCCATATCATCCCTCCCGTTACTGCCCACACATCTCCTCTTTACAGTATTAAGTGAAAGATAGTTTCGTAAGGTTGTGCCTGTGTTGAAAGTATTACCCCTTCAAATCAGTCCCCAGCAAGGGTCCTCCTGCCCCAGGTGTGACTTATGCCATTAGAATGAGATGGAGTTTGACTCAGAAGCATAGGAAAGCTTTATTCTTCAAACAATGAAGGACGTGAGCACCTGCTCTAGAGTACTCGCTCTCCTGAAAAGTCCTCGGCTACGGGCCAAAAGCAGGGCTGTTGTACAGAGGTCTTGTCAGCGGGGAGGGGGCAGAGTTCTTCCTGGTCGGGTGTAGCTGTGCGGCTCACAGGTGCTCCAGCTTGAAGGGGCGGGGCCAGCGTCTCTGCACACGGCCCTCCACTGCCATTTTCTGCACACGGCCCACCGAGCTGACGTGCCAGGTGCAGCGTCTCTGCACACGGCACAGTGCTGCTGCCATCTTGAATTGCAGAGTTGTCCACAGTGTCCCTGCACAGGCTCCAAAGCTGAGGTGTCGGCATAGCCATGCCACGCGAGGAACTCCTGTCTGAAGTTCCCGGTGCTGTACCTCCATACTCAGTACCCTAGGAGCAAGAGAAACCAGACTAAACACAAAGGACCAAAAAAGGTTAGACTTTATCTTTTCCAGATTTTATTTCCTGGGAATTGTTAATGGGCTTTGCTGGTACCAAATATATAACATGATCACTCAACTAGGATCTTTCCAATCCTGAGACACTTTCTCAGTTTGAATTTAGTTTCCTCCCTCCCTTTCTAATTTTTTGTGACACCCTCTAGTTCCAACAGAGCTTACTAGCTCTGTGACTAGATCACTTACTACCTCAGGTACTACCTCACTTACTAACTCTGTGACTGAGTCTCTGGCCTCCTTTTCCTCATCTGTAGGATGAAAAATACTACCTTCTTTTATACAAAGAGTCAAAATGCCCTAGCATTATTGGCATATAGGAGGAGTTTAAGAGATGTGAAGTCCTTTCAACCCTCTTTCTGCCTAAACAATATCTTAAAACAGTGGGCCTCAAACTTGCATGTATAAGAAACACCTGGGGTATTTGGAAAAAAACAAATTCTAATACCCTGTCCCCAGAGTCTGACTTACTAGATCTAGATGGGGCCTTTTTAATAACCAGTGATTCTAACACAGGTGGTTGACAGACCACCCTCTGAGAGATCTTACATTAGAATCAGGATTGTATGAAGGTAGAGCTGGAAGGGCCTCTAGATTACCTCATTCAACACTCACTCTCCATTTGGCTGACAGAGAAACTGAGTTTAGGTGACTCATGCAAGGTCACGTAGGGAGGCAGCGACTGAGCTAAAGTGGGAGCTGATGTTCCCTGACTCACAGGGTGAGTGGCTATGCCAGGCGGCCACCTCCTCTTTATTAGGAAACAGAGCCTTTCCTGGCTCCAGTTGAGGTTTCCCTGAGCAACTCCTTGGCAATGAATTAAGGGCTCAGACTTCTTAGTCAAAAGGTCTTCTAGAAACTGTTTTCTATAAGGAATACTCTTGTATAGCAGTGTAACAACCTTTCCATCGCCTTGTTAAGAGCATCTGCAGATTAGGAAAAATTTATTCAGTTATTTCTTTGATTATAGTGTGTATCTTGCTGCCCTGTTAAATTTTCTTCTGGCATTCTCCTTAGTTGAAGGCTGTAATGCTTTTGACTGAAAAACACTCCTTTTGCTCATTTTAACTCTTTCATTGTAAGGTAAAACACAAATAGAAAAAAGACCTACACCAAAAAACAGTAGGTTAGTGGATTGTTATAAGGTTAACATCCTTCAAACCACCACTCAGGTGAAGGCACAGAATTCTGCCTTCTACCCCAGAAGTCCTTCCTTGTACTCTGTCTCAATGACAAACTCCACCATCCATCCCAAAGTAACTACAGTCATGGCTTTTATGGTAATCATTTCCTTGCATATCTTCACAGTTTGCTTACCTACTTTGTGCATCTCTAGACAAAAAAGTTTGACTTTGCTGTTTAGACAACACTGACCTGTCTCTCAGATCTCCTAAACTTCTCATTCCTCTCTATTCCTTTCTCCTTCTTACAGTTTATCTTTTGAAAAACCTGGTCTATCTGACCTATAGTGTTTCTTACAGGTTTGGATTTGCTAATTACCAGAGGTTTGATCAAACTCATAACATTGTTTTAACTGGATTATTAGTGTTAAGCGTTCTTTCATCAGGAGGCATGTAATGTCTGCTTTTCACTCTTTTTCTCTTATATTAGCAATTATTGATGCTCAGTGCTTTGATCCATTAATTCATTGGAGGTTGCAAGATAGTAATATTCTATTATTTTGTTTTCATTTATTTATTGGAGTAATTTTATAAGAAGAGGCCACTCCTCATCTACTGTTCTTCTGTTGGCTACATGTTCATCTGGGTGAAAGGTACACTTCCTTGTGTTCCTTGCAGTTTGGTATGACCATATGACTACAGCTTCCCTTGTAGCTCAGTTGGTAAAGAATCTGCCTGCAATGCAGGAGACCTGGGTTTGATTCCTGGGTTGGGAAGATCCCCTTTTAGACTTAGCAACTAAAACACACACACACACACACACACACACACACACACACACACACACACACACACACACACACACACACACACACACATGACTACATTCTGGCCAATGAGCTATAAATGGAAGAATCCTATGCAACTTCTAGAAAGTATCCCTCTCCTCTTTTTAAAACGTTTATTGGAGTTTAGTTGATTTACAATGTTGTGTTCCGGGTGGACGGCAAAGTGATACAGTTGTACATATAAATATATTCATTCTTTTTCAGATTCTTTTCCCAGATAGGTTGTTGCAAAAAATTGAGTAGTTCCCTGTGCTATACAGTAGTCCTTCTCTGTTATCTATTTTATGTATGATAGTGTATATATATTAATCCCAGGCTCCTAATTTACCTCTCCCCCAAACATTTCTTCTTTGATAACCATAAGTTTGTTTTTGAAACCTATGTGTCTGTTTCTGTTTTGTGTAAATTCATTTATATAATTTTAAATGATTAGATTCCACATATGAATGATAACATATTTATCTTTGTCTTACTTCATTCAGTATGATAATCTCTAGGTCCAGCCATGTTGCTATAGATGACACTATTTTGTTCCTTTTTATGGCTGAGTAATAGTCTATTTATATATGTACCATATCTTCTTTATCCATTCCTCTGTTGATGGACATTTAGATTGCCTCTGTCTTTGGCTATTGTAAATAGTGCTGCAGTGAACATTGGGGTGCATGTATCTTTTCAAAATACATTGTTTTTTTTTTTCTCCCAGATATATGCCCAGGAGTGAGATAGCTGGGCCATATGGTAGCTCTATTTTAAGTTTTTCAAGAAACCTCTATACTGTTTTCCCTATTGGCTGTACCAGTGTACATTTCCACCAACAGTGTAAAAATATTCCCTTTCCTCCACATCTGCAGAATTTACTGTTCGTAGGCTTTCTGACGATGGCCATTCTGAGTGGTGTGAGCTGCTAATGATACCTCATTGTAATTTTGATTTGCATTTCTCTGATAATTAGTGATGTTGAGCCCCTTTTCATGTGCTTTTTGGCCATCTGTGCCAGGATAGTTCAGTATTCTTGCTTTGAGAACCCCATGAACAGTATGAAAAGGCAAAAAGATGGGACACTGAAAGATGAACTCCCCAGGTCAGTAGGTGCTCAATATGCTACTGGAGATCAGTGGAGAAATAACTCCAGAAAGAATGAAGAGACGGAGCCAAAGCAAAAACAACACCCAGTTGTGGATGTGACTGGTGACAGAAGCAAAGCCCCATGCTGTGAAGAGCAATATTGCATAGGAACCTGGAATGTTAGGTCCATGAGTCAAGGTAAATTGGAAGTGGTCAAACAGGAGATGGCAACAGTGAACATCAACATTTTAGGAATCAGCAAACTAAAATGGACTGGAATGGGTGAATTTAACTCAGATGATCATTGTGTCTACTACTGTGGGCAAGAATCCCTTAGAAGAAATGGAGTAGCCATCATAGTCAACAAAAGAGTCCAAAATGCAGTGCTTGGATGCAGTCTCAAAAATGACAGAATGATCTCTGTTCATTTCCAAGGCAAGCCATTCAATATCATGGTAATCCAAGTCTATGCCCTGACCAGTAACGCTGAAGAAGCTGAAGTTAAATGGTTCTATTAAGATCTACAAGATCTTCTAGAACTAACACCCCCAAAAAATGTCTCTTTCATTATAGGGGACTGGAATGCAAAAGTAGGAAGTCAAGAAACACCTGGAGTAACAGGCAAATTTGGCCTTGGGGTACAGAATGAAGCAGGGCAAAGGGTAATAGAGTTTTGCCAAGAGAACGCACTGGTCACAGCAAACACCCTCTTCCAACAACACAAGAGAAGACTCTACACATGGACATCACCAGATGGTCAGTACCAAAATCAGATTGATTATATTCTTTGCAGCCAAAGATGGAGAAGCTCTATACAGTCAGCAAAAACGAGACCAGGAGCTGACTGTAGCTCAGATCATGAACTCCTTATTGCCAAATTCAGACTTAAATTGAAGAAAGTAGGGAAGACCACTAGACCATTCAGGTATGACCTAAATCAGATCTGTTACAATTATACAGTGGAAGTGACAAATAGATTCAAGGGATTAGATCCGATAGGCAGAATGCCTGATGAACTGTGGTCAGAGGTTCGTGACATTGTACAGGAAATAGGGAGCAAGACCATCCCCAAGAAAAAGAAATGCAAAAAAGCAAAATGGCTCTCTGAGGATGCATTACAAATAGCTGTGAAAAGAAGAGAAGTGAAAAGCAAAGGAGAAAAGGAAAGATATACCCATCTGAATACAGAGTTCCAAAGAAAAGCAAGGAGAGATAAGAAAGCCTTCCTCAGCGATCAGTGAAAAGAAATAGAGGAAAACAATAGAATGGGAAGGACTAGAGATCTCTTTAAGAAAATTAGAGATACCAAGGGAACATTTCATGCAAAGATGGGCTCGATAAAGGACAGAAATGGTATGGACCTAACAGAAGCAGAAGATATTAAGAAGAGGTGGCAAGAATACACAGAAGAACTATACAAAGAAGATCTTCATGACCCAGATAATCACGATGGTGTGATCACTCACCTAGAGCCAGACATCCTGGAATGCAAAGTCAAGTGGGTCCTAGGAAGCATCACTACGAACAAAGCTAGTGGAGGTGGTGGAATTCCAGTTGATCTATTTCAAATCCTAAAAGATGATGCTGTGAAAGTGCTGCATTCAATATGCCAGCAAATTTGGAAAACTCAGCAGTGGCTACAGGACTGGAAAAGGTCATTTTTCATTCTAATCCCAAAGAAAGGCAGTGCCAAAGAATGCTCAAACTACCACACAATTGCACTCATCTCACACGCAAGTAAAGTAATGCTCAAAATTCTCCAAGCCAGATTTCAACAGTACGTGAACTGTGAACTTCCAGGTGTTCAAGCTGGTTTTAGAAAAGGCAGACAATCCATAGATCAAATTGCCAACATCTACTGGATCATCAAAAAAGCAAGAGAGTTCCAAAAAACATCT